GGGACGCTTCTTTTCACAAGGGGGAAGCGTTTCCCCTGCTTCCAGGAGGAACACTTCAGGTCTCACCTAACGCTACTGAGAACTTTTAAAAAAAGAAAACTAGTCTGGCATGCTGACAACTTTTCAAATTTGCCCAGCTACCTCGCTCCTAGCCTCAGGCAAGGGAAGGGAATTTGAGTCATTACAAGTATTTGCAGCTCACTCTCTATCCCTCCTCAGCTGTGATGCCAACAAATATTTTTTTTTGTTGTGCTCTTCATTGAAACGCCCCCCGTTTCCTATCCTCTTCCTTGGTTGTGGTCTCTGGTCAACACAGACGGCATCACTGGGGAGGGCACTTTGTCTGGAAGGAGGTGTCTCCGCCAAGGCAGGATGCTTCACCCAGGGTTGCACGAACCAGGAGTTTTCCTTGTCCCTCAAAACCCTGGGCGTTGCTCCCCAGTGCAGGTTTCTGCACAGCCAGATCCAGCCTGGCACGAGGCAGCAGAGCGGTGCCTGTATGGGGGCCGAGGGGATTTGAGCTGTGGGAATGCTGTGTGGGTTTGTGCCCCACGTGGTGCTGGGGTGTGGGGCTGGAGATGCACACAAGCACTTGTGGGATCACTTTGTGCTCTCCTTCTTCCTCTGAGCTGAAACCTTGGTGCACAACGAGCTCATCCCCCCCACTTCTCCACAGAAGGGTCAAAACCGGGAAAGAAACTCATTTCCCCTCCAGTGTGCCTGGCCACCAAGGAAAACCAGAAAAGGAGGAAGATAAAAGACATGCGGCGGCCCCGAGAAATGAAAGGGCAAAGAGTGGGCAAGGGGGAGGAAGAAGGAGGATACAAGCTGCTGCCAAACCACTGCAAACCCAGCGAGGAGATTATGCTTGGATGAGGTTCCTGGAAAAACCAGCCGAAGGAGGGATCCAGCCCGGCCAGGGATTAATGAGCGTTGAAATCCACTTCCACCGACAGTGCCCAGTGGCTGCTGGGGATGACAGCCGCGCCTGACTCAACGCTTGGAGAGGTGTAGCTACTAATCCGGCGGCACGAAGGCCCCGAGCAAGGCAGACAGACAGACGGATGTCGTCCAAACCACAGGATGCTCCCAACCCTTCCCGGCACGGTGGGGGTGCTGCCTCCTGCCTGGGGCTCGCTGACCCCGTCCCGGCGGTGTGTGGCTGGCAGGAGCCGAGCCAGGAGTCGTGCTTGGCAGGAACCGGGTCAGACACGCTCATAAATACCTTGGCAAGGTGCTGGCAGCCCCAAAACCCAGCCAGGACCAGCACCTTCAGATGGGACAAGGAGAACCCCTGGAGTCAGCCCCAGTAGCGGGGGCATGGGGTCAGCTGGGAGAGCCTGGGCTCGGGGGCACCAACACAGGGAGGCTGAGCTCACACGTCCATGCGCACAGCCTTGGAGAACAGACAACTTCTGAAGGATGTCAAGACCAGGCCCATCAACAATTCCTCAGCAATGACATCCTTGCAGAGGGAAAGCTTCTTTTATTAAGGGAAAACCACTAAACAAGCACTGGTTTCAGAGGAATAACCATTCAAAGCCCAGCGCCACCAAGGAAGCCAGAGGCCTTCCCCACAAGCCCTGGGCTGCTTCCAGGGGGCTGGGAGGTGTCAGCACCCTTCCAGCTCGCTCACACGCTGGGCTCTCATTTAGAGACAGCAATTCCTTCATCTTGCGTAAGAAACCTCAACATCAGAGCTCCCCTCCTCACCCTGACGAAAGGGAAGCAGATCTATTACTATTTTTTCTGTAAATGTTTTTGCTGGCTACAGGGCCCGCTGGTTCTCCAAAGGCAAGCAGAAATTAGGTCCCATCCAGCTGTTCCCATGAGCGAGGTGAGGTGGGCTGGGGGAGGAAGCAGAAGGGCAGGCAACGAGGGGCTGGGGAGCGAAGCCCACCCATCGCCCACACAGCCCCTGTGCGTGGCTCCCTCGTCACCAGACCCTTGGCCACCAGCCCAGAGCAGTGTCCGTGGCACCCCAGAGCCTGGGCATTGGGGTGAAAAACTGCCCTGGGTGATGGAAACTTGCCTGAGCTCCCTCCTACCGATGTTTCTCTTGCTAGATGGTCCTTTTCCCCCATGGTGCTCACCTGCAGCTTCAGGCATGTTTTGCTGCCACCACCGAAAGCTCCTCTCTGTAAGCGTGGCCAAGGCAAAATATTTCCAACAAAGAGGCCAGGCACACACACAGAGACCCCGAGGACACGTGGTCCTCGCAGCCAACCTTTGTTTATAATAAAAGAGCTCTCTGGGAAGCCACCTGGATATCATTAGCCCTATCTCATGGGTGGAGAGCAAGGATAGGCAGAGGAACACTTGACCCACGCAGAGACAACCAGCAGCTGGTGGAGAGCGCAGGGCACTGCTGGGCACTGCACTGCTGCCCTGGGCATGAGGCTGCACGAGGGACAGGACCAGGTATTCACCTGGAGGTGAGGTGTGGGGAATCCAAATATTTGCCCAAGGAAGCCAAAGGCAGAGCTGCTTTCCCCACGAAGCTGCAGAAAGGCAGTGGCAAAGCGAAGGTTTGCCTCCAGCTCCGTGAGCCCTGGCTGCAGGAGCACCTCGACTGCTTCTCACACACCTGAATATTCCCAGGGACTCGGTGTCAGCAGCCAGCAGCCAGAGCAAGCTCTGCCCAGGCGCTCTGTATCCTGCTCGGGGTATCCACGCCGGGCTGCTGTCAGTGAACACTGGTGATGAAAATTAAATGGAAACTCAGCACTCAGCCAGAAAACCTGACAGTGGCCTAATTTGGAGAGGCAACATGCCTCAGGCCGTGCCGGTGGGGCTGAGAGAGCAAACATTTTTAAATGTTCTAAAAATCCCTCAATTCTGCTCCTCAGCCCCAGGAGACTGAGGCCCCGGAGCACCTCGGAGCACTTCCCCCCCTCCGTCTCATCCAGCTGGGGGCCAGGTGGGAGCTGCATCACTCCTGGCTAATTGCTTGGGACAAATCTGTGCGGGGCCAGGGAGAACCCACCAGGTCCCGGGGACACGGCAGCACCAACACAACCTGTGGCCCTGGCCCAGGGATGCTCCTTTAACGGGGTAAGCAGCCAGCTTCGCTCGTGACTTATGCACTTGGATGAATTTGCCGGTAGTGCCTTACCTTCTGCAGCCCTTCGGGTCTCATCTGCCAGCTCTCCTACCATCCATCCACAGGCACCGTGCCGTCCCCGTGCCCGTTAACCTTGCGCATATTTCTAAATGATGCCATTTCCTTCGGCTTGCGCAGCACTTTATTTGTTCTTTATGGCGCCGCTCTCACGCAGGGTGGATGCTGCTCGGAGAGAAATAAATGCTGCGGGGAGGAGCGGGCGGGCTGGCTCTCCAGGCTGCAACCCTTGCTTTGACATTGACTTGCTGGGGGCCGTGAGCTCCCTTTCTGCCTGTGGAAGGGGACGGTGACATTCACCTGGCTGCTGCAGGGGACGAGCAGCCCGAGACAAAGAGCACTTTTTTACCGAGCAGTGCTTGGCGGGGAGAGGTGCATTCGAGATGCTCCAAGTATGACCACATCTAGTCCTGGGGTGGGCGATGCCGCACCTAGAGCATGATGCAGACAGCAGCCGTGCAGGCCAGGCAGAAGGGAGGCTTCTCCGCTTCCAGGGGAAAGCATTTGGCTAAACCCAGCCTCACCTCGCTTCACACATCTGCTCCTGCGGGGCTGCATGAGTCACAGCCCTGCTCGCAGGCACAGCAAGGACGGGGATCTGACAAAAACCTCCTTCCCCGCCCAGCCCCTGCCCTTGGGCTGGCAGCATGAGCCCTTTGCCCACCCCAGGGCTGCCAAGGCACAGGGGGATCCCACTCACTGCTCTGTCCCCAGGCACTGTGGGGCCAGCACGGATCCTGCCCCAGCCATGTAGCCGTGCCCCAGCTGTGGTTCACCAAGCTGTGAACTTGAACCCAACCCGTTCAAAGCCTCTTGTCAGTCATCAGCCTCTCCAGGCCCTAATTAGAAAAGCATCTCGATTTAAAATGCTGCACAACGTACCCAAACCTACACGTTTGGTGCAGCAGAGTTCCTCCTGGCACTACAGGGCTGTGCGGACTGCCTGATCTCATGGCACTGCCCATTTCTGAAAGGGAGCCAGCGGCTGCTAGCGCAGGACACCTACAGAAGCCATAGGGCCACGGCTCTTCCCACAGCAATCACACCAAACACCATGAAAACAGCTCCCTGAGCCCGGTCACCCTCACACGAGCGCTGTTTGTGTCCCTTACTGTCACTCAGCAGTGGCTGGTGAATTCCTACCAGCACTCAGCTCATCTCCCCCCGTGCCTTTCCCGTCCCTATGGATAAAACTTGTGCTCATTCCCCCGCAGCCCTTCCCTTGCTCCTTCAAACCAAAGCTGGGCCGTGTCCACACCGCTCGAGCCCTGGGCACTGGGAGAGATGTGCAGGATCCTGAGTGAGCACCTTGAATACTCGGGGATTTCCAGGGTTTCCTTGGCAAAAAGTCACTGAAGAAAGCCCTTGATGCCAGCACATCTCCCTGCCAGCCCCACCACAACCCCCTGGCCACGCTGCACCGAGGTGAGGTCCAATGCTGCCTTGCAGAGCAGGACCTGGATTTCCTTCCAGGGGAAGGGGAGCAGCAGTGCACGTGGCCGGCTACAGCAGGACCCGGCAGCGTGTACCGTGTCAGGCCTCCAGATGAGCAGACAGAAAGCCAGAGGCTTCCCGCAGCCCTGCTGCTGGGAAATGCTCTCACCATAGCTCACCCCGACGCCTTTGGCTCCGCGGAGGGCTGGGTGTCTGCTCAGGCTCAGGGCACTTCCCCTCTTTGAGAGCTGCCACCCCAGGTGGGTTCCCCTCCGCTTCTGTTAATCATCTCAGTAGCCAGCCCCAAACAGTCTGGAATTGATAAAAAAAAAATAAAATAAAATACCGAGTGGTTCAGGGCAGGGAGAAAAACTTGCAGACAACAAAAGGCAGGGCCAGAAGGAGAATCCATCCCTTCGTCCTGCAGACAAGGTGCTGGTGCGGCAGGGATCCTCGGCTGGCCCAGGTATGCAGCCGGGATTTTTTAATGCTTCGCAGGCGTAGCGGGCCCATACATCAGCACGCCTTGCCAAGGGAGCTGGGCTAATGAGGGTGATTTATGCAGCGGTCACTAATGGCTGACCCGGGCTTCCATCAATCTCTCCTGGAGGTTTCTGAGGACGGAGGGAGATTACAGCTTTACCGCCAGGAACGGGGGGACGGTGCCGTGCCAGCATCCCCACCCCGGGGGAAAAACCCATCAGGGTGCCCCCAGCTCCCCTCTGCTGCTGTCTGTTGCCACCATGCACAGCGGGGATCTTGCTCCGGGTTGAAACCCAGGTGCATTTGTTCAAGCTGCAGAGAGCTGAAATCCTCAGGAGTGAGCAAGGGAGGGAGGCACGACCTGAGAAACCCCCCGGGGGGTGCTCCTGCTATGGGATGTTGTGGCACAGACCTTACAGGGGGCGCGGTGCTGAGGCAACCAGCTAGTGTATGGCAAGGAGTGTTATTAAAATAAACCACACTGAGCCAGCAGGGCTGCACAAACTCCAAGCAGCAGAGGAATGGTTAACTTAACCAAAGCCAAAACAAAAACAAAAACAAGAAGGTGAAAAGGGAGATACAGGAGGATAAAAGGGCTATCACGGGTGTCAGCCTGAAAGGAAAAGAAACAGAGGAGAGGAAAGGAATTCGCTTCCCCAGAAACCACAAGTGGCTTGAAGAAATTTGTGAACTGAGGGACCGCAGCCTGCCGAGGTGGCACGTCCCCAGCAGGGCCACAAGCTGACCGTGGTGGCACGTCCCCAGGCATCACAGTGAGTGTGCCACGCAGACACAGCGCCAGCAGGATGGGTGCTCGGGAAGGAGCAGAGACTTCTTGGCAGGAGATGCTCAAACAGGAGGAGGAGGAGGTGGCCGGCCTCGGCGACGCAGGTCTGCAAGTGACACCTGAGTAATAACGGCAGCAGCTTTCTCCTTGGCCTGTGATCATTATTCAGCACATTGGCTCCAAATGGAAGCCGGGGGCACTTCGGATGCGCCCAGCTCCTGCCTCGTCCTCTCACGTGCAGGCTGCCTCCTCGGCTCGCCGCGGTGGGAAGGAGATAAATGATGCCCTGGATGGATGGGGAGGAGAAGCGCTCAGCTCAGGGACCACTGCTCCTCACCACAACATTAAATTTGGCCTGACGGGCTGGGAATAGATGAGGCTCCAGACAGGCAGCATCCTGCCTTCAAGGTGATGCCTCTACCCTTGAACACCACGGCAGCCAGAAAGGCACTGCCAGGGATGGGAGCTCTGTACCCACAGCATCATTTGGGGCTTTAAGGCGAAATAGTGGGAACAAGGGGAGCAAACCCACGGGCAGGGGGTGCTGAGTGTGTCCGGGATGGATGCGGCTCTGTCCCAGGCTCTGCTCAGCTGAGCACCGTGGGCGCTGGCCATCAGCGCTCTGGCACGGCGCTCTCCTCTTGGCACTGTCCCCCTCCTATGAAACGCATTAAATATTTAGCGGAGCGCTGAAGCTGTCCGCCTCCATGCCAGGCAGGAGCGTTAGCTATTGGGAAGCGATCCCTTCCCTGGCACCGGGAAGGGTGAAATATGTATTGAAAGGAGGAACCGCTCCAAGAGGAAAGACAGGGAGACAACTTTGTTGTCCCGGCCAAATTCTAGCCTGCCAACTTCTGCTTCTCTAAAATGCTGCCTGCATTTTCAATAAATAACAAAAATCAAAACAAAACCCAATCCCCTCCATTCCTGCCTGAAATGCTTCTGCAGCGGGCTGTGTAAACACCTGCCACAGCCACCCCAGCCGTGGCTGCGTGTCATTGTTGGGCGAATTGATCTTTGCGTATAGCTTGCACATTTGTCTGTAAAGCTCATTAAGATCCGGCAAGATGAAAGGCAGCACAGAAATGTAAGATCATTATCGTTATCAAAAGAAACACAGAAAACTGCTGCTATAGAGGCAGATTTGTTTCCATATAGAAAGCTGTTCAAAGTTCTCCAAGACACTCTTTAATAAGATGGCTGTTATGTGAATAAACTTCAAGAGCTTCTCTCACGCTGGGGAAAACTTCCAAGGCCCTGTTTGCCTTTCACGTCCATTTCATAAATTCTCCTCGCCGTTCCTGGGACGAGGGCCACGGTGCTTTGTAGCCGATCTCCGTGCCTGCCCCGAACGGCTGCAGGAGCTGGCTGACGGGGATGTGGACGCAGCGAATCCGCTCCTGCCTGGAGGAAGGAGAAGAGTTAAACTCGCTCGAGGCACCATCTTTTCCAAGAAGAATCAGTTCTTCCCACACAGGGTCATTTCTTTCTTGAAACCAGCCTCCCTTTTATCCACGAGAAAATCTGCTCGTAATTACCGACCAAGGAAGAAGGGGCTTCTGGAAATATTCATCTGCAGCTGAGCCATTTTCACCCTGGCACTGGCGGAGCGAGCCTTCCCCGCTCCCATCTGTCGCCTTCACGGCGCTGCCAGCCGGGCTGTGGCACCCAGCGCCGTGCTCAGCCAGGACTGTGACACTGGGGGGGTCCCCGGTTGGGTACGGGGGGCCAGGACCCATCGTGGCACGGAGCCAGAGCAGAGGATGCCACCCGGGCCAAACCTGCCTTCCCTTGCAGGTTCGGATGGGATCCCAGCTCCTTCTGCAGGGAAACATCCGCAGCTTCTCGCCGTGGGGTATCCTTCCCTCTCTAACTGCATCCCATTTACATCGCCAGGAATAAATCAATCTGCTTCGTGGTGCCTACACCTTCAAATATTTATAGACTGTTATTATACTTTTCACTCCCTCCCTATACACACATGCCCTTCCCTTTAAACGTCTCTTCACCAAACTATGTCTATTTAGTTCTTTTAATCCTTCCCCATAAATCTGCCCTGATCCACTCACTGCACCCTGTCCATTTATTTCCGTTAATGAGAGGCTCAGCAAAGCTCCCCGCAGCGATGGCCAGGCCAGAGCTGCCCAGGAGGGGGCTGTTATCGCCTCCCCCCCCAGCACAGCACCTCGGGGACCACAGCCCCGAGGTGCTTTAGCCCCGAGCATCCCCCCGTCCCCTACCGCAATGCTCAGCTCTGTTCCCCAGCCAGACTTCTGCTTTCTGTCTTCTTCGGATTTTGCTTTTTTTTTTTTTTGCCTTTTTTTTTTTTTTTAACCCAACTGCAAATGACAAAACTGCGAGCAGCTCCCAGACAACTTGCAAACCCAGAAATGAGCTATTTCTGGTGACTGAATTTAAACTTCCTTTCTTATTTGCAAATTGCCTGTGAGCAGATTGCGAGTAGCAGGCATCCAGAAGCTGGGGAAGGCTGCGAGTTGAGATTCGGATGCCCCACGTGGGCTCCTTCCCTTTCTCAGTCTGCTGAGCCCCAAGCCACCAGGAGCAGCAGCCCCGCTCCCCAGGACTCTGCGCTCAGCATCCCCTTTTGGCAGCCAGCCTCCAGCCTCTCCTCCAGCTCGGCTGCTCCTCTGGGCGCACCGATGTGCCGGATAGCAAGCACCAGGAGCGTGGGAGACCTGGTAGGGAGAAGATATTCTTCTCCATCAGGACTTGGAGGAGCTGGCCCTGCCTGGCTGAGCTGTGTGGATGGTCCTTGCCCTGCAGCAGCCTCCTCGAGGGGCTCTGCACCCCTGCCTGGGCCAGGTGCTCGCTGCCTGGATGGGGACGGGGACAGGAACAGGGACGAGCCCTGCTGCACATCCCCAGGCACGAACCTGCTCAGCTCGGCTGCCCCGCCGAGGCTGCTCCTGTGAAATTTGGCTCCCGGACAGGAAAACAAAGTTATTCTTTAAAAACAGAATAAAAGAAGGAAGAAAGGGGCTGCTGAAGTCAGCACATTTCCCATTGCCAGGTGGGGCCACAAGCAGAGCTGCGAAACCTACATGAGGTTAAAATTTGCCGTGATGAAGCTGCGTCAGGCAACGACCCCCCAGCACCTAGAGCTGGCTGAAGCTGCAGCAGAGCATCCTGTCCTCCATCCACCCCTTACCCTGCTTTTGGGGAGGGCTGACTGCCCTGAATTCTCCAGGGGGTGACAACGGGCCACCCCACATCCCCCAGCAGACAATCAGAGGGTGAGGGGCAGGGTGAGGCTGTGTTACCCATCTCAGCCTTCCCACTATTTTCATCTGTGGCCAGGCAAGCTCGTGTATCTTTTCCATACCAAAACCTTCAACCTCCACCGCAGTGATTGCTTTCTCATTCCCTTCTTTCCTGGTACCCTGGATCCAACAAAGCCTTCCTCCTGGCAGCAGCTCTTCCTCCCTCCAGACCCCCAGCTATCTCGTGAAGCTCCTCCATCCCAAACGGAATGAACCCAGGCAGGTCTCTTCCAAAATTAATTGAGGACCCTTCTGCAAGGAAAAGCTCCCCAGCCCACCTGCAGCTCCTGACCTCCACCTCTTTCTGCAAAGAGGGAAAAACCAGCCTCCAACCCCTCATTTCAGAGCCACCCCCCATTCCCAGCCAGCCTCCCAGCACTTGGCCACCTCTGCACCTCCCACCCAGCAGGTGCTGCTTTGTATCGCCACGCAAAGCCCGGCTCAGCTGCAAGCCCTTGTGAGATTAAAGCAACTTCTCTCCCATTAAACTCCTTTCTGTGATCCTCTGCAAGTTCCGGGGCTTGCAGCCATGTGAGCAGAGCCCACGTCCTGGGCTGTTGTTCACCTCCAGGGTGTCTCTGCAGAGCCAGCACCACGTTTTGCCCTTTGCTGCCACCCTGAGCAGCATCCCTCTGAGCCCTGCCCCAAGAGGGGAATTTCAGGGAGATGGGCACGAGGGGCTCGAGCGAGCGGGGTACCCCTGTCTGGGCACGAGCTGCTCCCTGGGTGCCCGACCCCCAAACGAAGGGGCTGTAATTATCCTTTGGCCCTCGCACAAATTGCTCATTGACTTGGAGCGCCGAGTGCTGACGCGCTGGCTCAGTTCGGAATTGGGGTTTAAATCAAAGAGCTTCCCTCCAGGGATCTGGGGGAGATGGAGACAATTAGATTTGAGCCCTGAAGTTTTACAAGTCTAATAAATTTCCTGGTAGCCTCAGGCTGCCGGGCTGCCGTGCAGGAGCCAGGCGAGAGACCTTGGTGAGTGAAAGCAAACATTTCTCAAGGCAGGAAGCCACAACACGGATCTTCCATCCCCAGCCAGGGGCTGGCTCCTTGGCCCCGTGTCCTGCTGGGCTGGCAGCTCTACGGCTGGGCTGATGGGGGCACCAGGCCCAGGGGAGCAGGGTTTCTGCTGGAGGAGCTGAGAAAAGAGCATCCCCTCAACTGTGCTTCGTGCAGAACCACCAGGAAAGGTGGCATGGGGAGAGGTTATGGAGATTGGAGATGTTGGCACCATGGCAGCAAGCACCCAAGGGAGGCCAGCACTGGGCAGCCCTCACCCCTCAGGGGGCACAGCCTTACCGGCTCGCTATCCTGCCAGGGATGCTCTTCTTCTGACCAGGCAGGGCCCCACATCCACCCCACCCTTGCTCCAGCAATGCTGATGGAGAAGAGGATGGAGAAGGAAGACGCCTTTCTGCAGGAACCCTGGCTTCTGGGAGCCCCGCAGCAACCCATCAGCACGGCAATCCCTGGTGGTGTCGGGACGTGCGGGGTCCCCTGCCATGGGCAGCTGAATGGGAGCAGCCATGAGGACCCCCTGGTGCTGCATCCCGTGTGCCCTGCAGTGACAGCACTGTGTCCCGGTGACAGTGGGTTCCCTGGCCCTCTTTCTCTTCCCCTTTTTGTCCCCAAAATTGCAGAGTCAAGCAGGAGGGTGATAATCAGGAAGAGCCTGCAGGGAAATCTCCTCCGGTGCTGCCCGGCTGTGGGCACGGTGCCACCAGCTGTCCCCTGTCCCCGTCCCAGCACGGCAGCCGTGGCAGCTCCGGGTGCACCCACACCGCCCTGCGCCGTGCCCATCCCTTTGGACCCGGGCGAGAGCCCTCAGCCAGCTCCGATCCTCCTCCCACGCCACCCCCTCCGTGCTGGGTGCCTCCGGTGTTTGTTCAACAGAATATTGCCATAAATTACACACTCCTCTGACACGATGTAAAACATGTTTTATGCTCCCATTTTCCCCCTGTCTTCCCGCTCACCCTTCTTCTTTTCCAATTTGAGCTGGATACACTGTGCCAGGGATTAGCACAGACTTATTTAAGCAGCCAGTCAGCTCTAAAGCATTGCTCATAAAACCCGGCGGTCTCTGCAAGCCCATCGCACTTGTCGCTGCTGACCATAAATCCCCACTTCATGCGAGCCTCTCTCCCTCTCCTGTTCCTGCTCCCTTCCCAAAGCAGCTCCACCATGCACAGGACTGGGCAACAGCAAGCTGTTGGGGTGGTTCATTTCCTTTTTATTTTTAAAAGACCCTATATCCCAACTGCTCCCTAAATGCCCTATTACCCACCACATCCCCTTGGGCACAGAGGGATCCAGAGGACCTGGGCACCCTGTTGGGGTTCATCCACCCCCTGGCATGGCAGGCTGGGTGAGCAGGGGTTTGGTGATGTCTCAAGGCAGCAGATGCAGCCGTGAGCTTGAGGAACATCTCCCACTGAGACCCAGCAGCAGGGCTGGGACCCCCCAGAGAGGACAGCGGAGCAGGGTCACCTCTCCCAAGGTGTGGGGGTCCCAGCACAGGCTGGCAGCACTCAGCAGCAGGGGACCACCCTGCCAGTCCCCTGCCCTGAGTGCCAGCGGCAGCACGTGGGACACTTGGCACGTGCTGGCCCCATCGGTGGCAGCAGGGAGGAGAACCAGGCTGGAGGACTTTGATCTCCTCCTTTAAAGCAAATATTTCCTCGCTGGGACTTTGCTAACCCCTCATCCTGATAGGCCGGATTCCTTCCTTTATGCTCTGCAAGGAAAGCTCCAAACAGAGACTTCCCCCTGGAGGAATTCACGGCACCCACCCTGGTGACAGGGCTGCGAGGCAGCCTGCGCTTCCCCCCTGTTTGTATTTTGTCTTGTGTTTTTTGGACGGGAACCACGGCGTTCAGAGCGCTGGCAAAGAGCAGAATACCCTGAGCAAGCACAGCTGGGCTGGCTCCAAAGGCTGTGGCCAGGATCCGGGGTGTGGGGCCGGGTCTGTGCAGGAGCAGCTGCCCTGCCAGCGGGCACTGCGGGGCCGATGGGGCACCCATGTCACTGCCAGCAGGCACCCAGGGGTGGCAGTGGTGCCCTCTGGTTCCCTCCGTGCAACAGGAGAGGCAGCAGCCCCTGAGCAGTGACCCCCAAGCAGGCAGACCCAGCTGAGTCCCCCCGAGCCCCTGGGGACAGCCAGGTCCCCCTGACCAGGGGATGAGCAGCTCCGGACAGAGAGCAGCAGGTAATGAGGAAATCTTATCACCGCTTCCTGCTAATTTTCTGAGTGCACCACAAAAAAATACAGTCCTGGGGACATGTGTAACTAATTAAATGGTACAGGGAGAAGAAAAACACTGATTTTTTTTTCCAAGACTTTGAATTATGTCTGGAGGTGAAGGAGTCAGCAGGCTCGGGGGATAATTAATCACCGGAGGTGAGGTGCCCTGGCTCCCCATGCCAGCGCCTGCTCCTGGCCGCCAGCCCTTGCACGGCACCGGCCAGCTCTGAGCACAGCCCGTGGTGCTGGTATGGAAACTGCTCATGGAGCCAGAGAGAGGAGAAGAAGGGCTCCGTGTGACGTGGGACGGAGTTTGGCACGAGGGACCCCAAGGAGGCCAAGCTGGAAATGCTCCCTCTGGCTGGAAACTCTCCTGGGCTGAGGTTTGGGCACGTCCTTGGTGCTGCCCCCAACATCCCCATGCTGAGGGGTGTCGGACAAGCAGTACCTGTGGGGCTGGGGACACTGAGCCTCTGCACCAGGCCCACCGAACCATCATGTGCATCCTTCCCAAATATCCCCGTGGGGGCTGGCACGAAGCACATCCACGTCCTGCTGGGTGCTCCCCTCCTCCTGGGGCTGCTGAGGGCCCCAGCAGCCAGCACAGAGGTGAAACGCTCTGGGTGCAGCTTCTCCCGAATGCTGAGCACTGCCCTCCTCACCCCGCGGTGGCACGCAGAACATCCCACACTCGTGGTGCCATTCAAGCCACTTCATGACCGCGTTTTCCTTTCCAGTCCCCGCCCCGTGACCGTAATCTTGTTTCTGTGTGTTGCGTATCCAAGGTGCAAGAAGTCATCGAGAGCCGTTGTTAGCTGGAAGGGTGTATTTGGTGTGGGAAACGGCGAGCAGATACTCCGTAATCCCCGTGTCAGCTCACATCCTTCTCCCATCCCGCGTGGGCACCGCACCAAACAAACAGGAGCCTGGTTACCGTCACCCTGGCCCTTCCCCTGCCCTCCAGGAGGAGCAGGCTGCGTTTGGGACGTGTCTCCCTGCCCGTGCCATCAGGAGAGCTCCGCACGGACCCACACACCCCTCCCAGCCACAGGCAAGGCTTCCCCTGGCATTTTTAGGGGGCAAGGAGAGGCCAGGACTCTGTCCAGCCCCGTCCCAGAGCTCAGCACCATCCCTGCCTTGGCACAGCATGGGCAGCGGGTGCCACCAGCCAAATCTAAGCTGCGCCTGTCCCCATCCAAGCAACCTGCAGGGAATGGGGGGTCCCAAATCCCATCTGAGCTCACCGACCCATGGATCTGGTGGATATCTGAGGCCAAGCAGCCCAGCTCAGGGCATCGCAGCAAGGGGGGGGTCATCCCTCCTGCCCCCACCTCGCCTGGCCACTGCAAGCGGGGATCCTGCCCCAGCCTGCGCAGGCACGGCCCCGGGAGGCTCCCGGCCGCCGGCTGCCTGCAAGCTGAGGCAAGGCTCTGTGGGATTTCAAAGAGGCAGGCACGCTCCTCACCGAGGCAGCCCCAACACGCACAGCTGGGCAAGGCGAGGGCTGCCGTCCCGGGAATGGCCCCAGAGCCTCCCGCTGCCACCCTTAGTGCCAGCTTCTCCAGCGTTTCCTCCCCCAGTGCAGAGCAGCAGGACGGGACAGTGCCCTCGGGGCTGGGACAACTCTGCCCCTGCCCCTAAAAGCCAGGAATAGGGGAAAGATGAGCGAGGGGTGCAGGGGGCACGAGCCCAGCCCAGCTGGCTGAGCAGTACAGGCATTTCTGTGAGCTGACCCAAATCTTTCCAAGGAAGAGCTGTCATCAGGGAACGCTGATCCCACATTTTAGAGTGGCTTTTTTGGAAATGTATCTGTTTCATCAACATGTTTTGTGAATAATTATGAAAACATACTACGAGGTCCAGGAATTTCATTGGAATTCCATCATTTTTATTGTTAGTTGGAACAGCGAAGTCAAAACAAAATGCTCTGACCACTTCAAAACCCACTTCCAACCTTGCCAAGAGGATTCTTTTAAAGATAATTTCCCCATTTATTAGAGGGCAATGTTTTCAGACCCAGCAGTACCGGGGTTGCGGTGTCACATCCTGCACCCATTGCCCCGTCGCTCCTCCTGGGCTGGCCCTGACCCTGCTCCTGGGGGGATCACCCCAGAGGGATGGGGGGGCTCCCTGCAGCGTGCCCCCAGCCCCAGGGCCTGGGGACAGCGTGGCAGAGGCGGCTGGGTGGCCTTTCCCTTGCCATCACAGCGCTTTTACCTGCTCCTCTCCCAGGCAGCAGCTCGGGACTGGGGGCTGTCAGTCTGGGCCCTTTCAATTAGCATTTTGCTCTCCTGTGCTACCCAGCGCTTAGAGCTGTGTCCAGCCGGCACCCAGGGGCCCTCCCAGCCCGTCTGAAATACCATTTCCATCTCTGACCGGAGTAATTGATGTCCTATTTTCCCTTCATTCATATGCAGGTGGCATGGGAAGGCTGGAGCGATGCGGAGCAGGAGCTGTCACCGAGCCCCTCGCTGCTGGCCACCAGCATCACCGGCTCTGCTGGAATTGATCCTCTGCTTCCCCCAAAACTGTGGACCCACAGAGCAGAGGCCAAGCTGACAGCATCCCCGGACCAGTGCCTGCTTGGAGATTCAGCTCAGACACAGAGAGAAATAGCTGCCTGCCATCCACCTGGGTCCCGGGGGTGTCTGCATCGCTGGCACTTGGCACGGGGATCACCGGGTGCATGTCTGCAGCACCCTCATGTCCCCAAGCGGTGGTGGGGTCCCAGAGGGGGTGAGGACTGGGGGAGCAGGACCCCCCATGATGTCAGCCCCCATTTGTAGGGGAGGCACAGCCCGTGTGAGCCCCAGGGCACCTGTACTGCCCTCAGATCCTCACCCCGACAGCCTGGGGGATGCCACGTCCCAGGGGACGGGGCTGGGGCAGGACCGACCCGTGTCCCTGCCCCGTGTCCCATCCTCACCGTGTGGCAGAGCAGCAGGAGGGGGCCCTGGCTGCTTTCCTCCCGGCTCCCTGGGGCCGGTGACTGATGGGTGCATTAGGCTGGAGAGGGAGCAGGTGACAGCAGGGCAGCCCGCAGCCAGCCGCGGCTCGGTGACACGAGACAGGGAACACTGATTACTTTGCCAGCCCCAGAGCAGACACCTAATAACAAGGCGGCGAGGGAGCAGGGACGGCAAGGATAAATAGCTCGGAGGCTGCAGGGCTTCTCTGCGCCATCGCAGCCCCCGTGCGCGGGGGCGTATCGCCACGAACTTTGCTTCTGCTTGATCCTTGTCTGCGTGCAGGCTGCGTGCGTGTGCCTGCCCGCGCGGCGCTCGGTGCAGCAGGTCCGGCCACTGAGTCAGCCGGGCAGGAAGGGCAAGGCACCGTGTTAACCTCCTCCCCTCCAGCAGCAGCTCCCTGGGAAGAGAGGGGTTTGCTCGGGAGGTGCCAAGGCAGGGCAGGAGGCCTGCAGAGCCCTCGTGGCCTCGCACACGTGCGCGGTGCCCCACGCGTAGGGCTGTGCGTGGGACACGTGGCAGCGGCTGGGCAGGGGTGGCCTGAGGGGTGGCACAGCTTGTCCTCCTCCCCCAGGTCTCTCCATGCACCCTTCAGGTCTGCACCACCACCATCAGGTGTCTCAGGAATGGGTCAGTGTTCCCTGTGACCCCCCTGCAGCCACACAGCCCCTTGGGGCTCTCCTGGGATTATACAGTTTATTGTAATTTCAATTTGGGGTGCTCTTTAAGGAGTTAAAGGAGATGAAGGAAGAAGAGGCAAAAAAATAAAGGATTGCCAGGACCAAGAGGGAGAGTATCTCCCCAGGGAGATCACCCTGTTGCAGAGGATGTAAAATCCTCTCCCCCCCAAGGAGAAGTGCTGTTTGCCCCAGCAGCAGACCCCGTGCCCGGGGAGGTCGGCTGCTCGGCAGGAATTTGGCACAGCCACCCGGGAACAGGGCAGCTGCCCCTCCTGGACAAGCGTCTGGGATAAAAATCAGTGCCAGGATCGCTCAGACAAGTCATGCTGCTGGGGTCACTGCACAGTCTATGGCCCGTCTCATGCCCGGGGATGTGTGCTGAGGAAGCACAAGTCGCTGGCTGCCCTCCAGGAATAGATAAGCTGTTTAGTTATAGAATAACTCGATTAACCAGGCTGTGTGGGGACAGCAGATCACCGCTGCCAAGCCCGAGATGTGGGCCTGAGGTGCCCTTTGGCCTGCTGCGATAAAGCAGCGGGTTCAGCCTGGAGCAGAAAGGAAGGTGGGGAAGCTGCAGTGTGGGGAGCGGCGCACATACCCGGGCACTCGATGGACACCTCCTGCAATAGCTCATGGAGACGCAGAGGTGCTGTGAGCTACACAACCCACGATGTGCCGTGCCACCCCATCCCATCCCATCCCATCCCATCCCATCCCATCCCATCCCATCCCATCCCATCCCATCCCATCCCATCCCATCCCATCCCATCCCATCCCATCCCATCCCATCCACATCCCATCCCATCCCATCCCATCCCATCCATCCCATCCCATCCCATCCATCCCATCCCATCCCATCCCATCCCATCCCCCCCTCCCAAGTGGCAGAGCTGCCAATATTTGGGCTGCTGCAGCCCCTGAGCTGCCGTGCCTTCCCAGACCAAGCACGGGGCTGCGAGTCCATGCCCAAGTGGCCGGGGTGGCTTTGCTGCTGTCCCTGCATAAAGCACTTCATGTTTTTATCTCAGCCCGTCTCCTGAGGCCTGGGAGCAGCCCTCTGAACCTAATGGACATGACCTGATTAGTGAGCGCTTGGTGTCTGCTCGGCTCACTCGAGGCAGCAACCTCAAGGCCAAGGCTGGGAAAAGATGGGACTTTTCTCCCTCTGGATGAGTGAGGTGGGAAAGAAGAGCACAAAAACTTCCTGCAGCCGTCGCAGCTTCCTGGGGATTAGCCGGGGAAGGGAAGGTCGGCTCATCCCGGGGACAAGCAGCTCATTTGCTAAATTAAAGCGCTAACCGAGGAACCAATTTTTCTGTGTGTCTAATTTCTCCCTTTGTAATACTTGTTATTTATCCTGCTAATTGCTGGCGCTCGGGGCAGACCGGGCGGCTGTTTCCACGGCCCAACAGCACCGGGAGCCGGGCTGCTGGTGCAGGCAGGGGGCAAATCTGCCCTCCTGTGCCAGGGGGAGCAGGGCAGGGGGGCTGCTCCCATCCCTGATCCCATCCCTGATCCCATCCCTGCTCCCATCCCCATTCCCAACCCCATTCCCAGCCCCACGCCACCCACTCCTCCCAGCCCAGCCCCATGCCAGCTGCGCACCCTGCCCTCCTGCTCAGCACCGCTGCAGGAAGGGGAGGGAGGAAAAGCATTGCTTAATTCTCTTCACGAGCAGGGGAATTGCTTTATAGCCTCTCTGCAAGCCGTCTCCTTTGCCACTGGCTTTCCCGTGCAGCTTCCCCGGGCGCTGGCGCTGCGATGGTTTTAATGAGGGAGATTTCAGAGGTGGTGAGTAAGGCTGTGAAGCCTCACTCAAACCCACGGCCAAATCCCTCCATCAAAAGAGCCAGCGACTTTTAAGCAAAGTCCTCCAAACTCTTCCTGAGGCTCTGAGCCTGGTCCCTTCTCCTGCCTCTGGCTCTCAGGTGCCCTCTCGGGAGCTCTCACCCGGAGCTCTTGGTGAAATCAGCTTAGGCGTGCCTGCCTCCTCGTTTCGGTGCTGACAGCGAAGCCATCCCTGACCTCACCCCATCGCAGACAAACCACCAGGCAGAGGCCAGATGAAGAAAACGGCCTCCTCTGCCCCTCAGACCGTAAGATGGAGAAGAATTGGCTTGTGGTGAGGCAGAGGCATGAAGCAAGGGGCAGGGACATGGTGCTGGCTCAGCTGCCTCCCGGCTCTGCCAGCCCCTGCCCCGCTCTCCTGCAGCCACCCCACGCCGCGGGCTGCTTGCTTTGCACCAGAACCGTCTCCACTTCCCCCACAACACATCATAAGGCAACCACACAAACCAGAGGATGTAAGTCTGAGCAGCTCCGAGCGCATCGGGCAAATTTGATCCTGCCAGATTAGGGAAGGCATTAGCGGGGCTTTGAGCCCTCGCCGGGGTCTGGGGTTTATATATGGCCACGGTCACCGCTCCGAGAGTGACATTGCAATACATCACGCCTGCCAGCCGCAGCCCGCGGCTCCCTGGCACCCGGCCAGCCAAAGGTAATTTTGTGTTGAGTGATATCAGAAGTCAAAATGAGCCCCACATACTTCGTGCAATTCCCAGTGGCTGTAAAACACCTCGGCCGTCTCCCATCCAACATTTATGTGTTTTGCATTAAACTTCCCCAAATTAGTGCTAAGTGCATTAAAGTTGTAAAAATAGCCTGCGTAAAACCCCATTAAATGCTTAAATATACGGACCCGGTGCATGGGGATCTATAATTCAGGCCGGAATTCGGGAGCCCTGTCAAGCAGAGGTCCCGTGCCGGGGGGACGTCGGAGCCCTTGGTTGCTGCGGGAGGAGATGGTGCCAGAGCTGGGAGCAGCTTTTCCCCCAACAGGAGCTTCCTCCGAGACGTCAGACGTTGCAGCTCTATTAATACTCGCCGAGCATCGGATGCAGACAAGACAGGCCGGGGGGATGGGAGGGGAGGAGGCAGGCGGGGAGGAAACATCCAGGCTTGGCCTTACGCACCACTGTCCTGGCACGTTTGGGGGATAATGGGGTGGAAGAAGGCCCGAGGGAACGCACGCTGGCCCGGGTTCAGCTATTGTGGGGAAGCAGAAATCTCGCTCCTGCCCTGGATGAGGCTGTTACCACGTTTCGGAGGGAGCCAGGAGCGCTGTCGTCACTCTGGGAGGAGGTTTTGCAAAGCTCTTCTCCCCCAGCACTGCCTGCTCGAGGTGGGGATCCCCCAAGAACCTCCCCCAGGTGCTGTGCTGGACCCAAGTGCATCACGTCTCCGGGGACCTGGCACCCAGCCTGCATTTCTCGGGTCATCCCATCTTCTCCAGCAACCCAGGTTTGGTGTTTGAATCCCAGGATGCCCGGACACCTCGAGCACATGCACAAGGAGGGTGTCGCTGGATGGTGGCTGCACTCAATGCTTCCCATCATCCGGAGACATCTTCCTCGTGGTGCTCTCTCCTCCACCAGAGGAGCCGATCCACCGATCTCCAGATTGCAACCACTGCAGGGCAGAACCAGTCAGGTAGGAGGCTGCCCACAGGGGTAGGGAAGACAGATTTCCTGGTGTTTGCTTTTCCCACGCATTCCCAGAAAGGTGGGGATCTTTTCCAGGCAGATTTCGGGCTGGCTCTTGGCCGAAGCGAGCTGGGAAATGTGCAAACAGCCATAAAATCACCCAATCTGAAGAGGAAATGGCTCGGCCTCCCTGGTGTTTTTCCATGAGGGAGCAGACTATCGGCTCAGCCTCTGGGTCTAGAAAAGCAGACTGCGGGCCAGGGAAGGAGGTTTGGCTCCTTTGATCCCGCTGGTCAAACTCCAAAGGCTCTGTCCCGCTCCCTCTGCTCTGCTCTTGCCACCACCACTCTCCGTGCACCTCCCCTGATAGCAAATTGGCACTTTGGGAGGGAGAAGGCATGACTCGTTTCACAAACCGTGCTGGGAGAAGTAAGTGGGTGTGCTGGTCCAACACCCAGGCTGGGCACCTCATCAGGGTCCCCGGCTGGAGGGAAGTAAGACCCTGCTGCCTGGACACTTTCAGTCGCAACTGGAGAAGAAGCTTGTGACCTCAGCCGCTTTTTTTGGCATTATTTTTCTGCCCTGTAACACCTCTCCCTTGCTCTGCTCCTGCAGAAGAGAAAAAGCCCATGAGTGATGTCCCGAGCGGGGTGGCCTCGGGTGCGCGGCCAGGTCCTGGTGGCTCTTGGCCATTACACTCCGTGCTTCCTCTCAAAGGTACCTGTCCAGCTTTATTACTGTCACTTCCCAACCCTTTGGAAGCCTTCCCAAGATGTACTTACGGAATTACTGTTCCCACTCTGCAGAGAAAACAGCTAAAGCCTTGTTATAACTCCTTAATGTTAACATCTGAATGGAGGGATTATCCTCCCTTACAAAAGGCTACATGTTTGTTTAACGCTGTTTTCACTTGTTTGAAAGTGAATTTTATAAAGTCCCTTTCCCTCCCTGCGCCTCCCCCTGGCTCCAGCCCTTCAGTTTCTCGCTGGGGACAGAGCAAGCCTCGGGCACTTGTAGCTTTTCCTGCTGGAAACATTGCTCTTAAAGCTGCGCCCGAGATGGGGCCTTTGGTTTCACTTTGTGCAAGGTTCCCAGCTCATCCGTGTGCCCAGCTCCACTTGCACTGGGAGGTCCCCAGCCCACTTTTGGTGCTGAACCTGCACAGAGGCTGCTCCATAGCTGGCAACGCTGCTGATCTGGCTGAAGAGAAATCCAAAGTCAAGAAAATGAATTTGCCCACTGCTGGTGGCACTGCTGGGGCATTTGGGAAGCACAAGCAGCAGCCAGACGCAGGGCAGGACCCACCTGCATGGGAAAACCTGGTGAAACCACAGCCCACGATGCAGTGCCCTCACCATCCGATGTGCAAAACTGTGACAGGATTGGGCCCACGGCTAGGCTGGAGAGGGAACAAGAGACAGTGGGGAGGAGATTTCCCTGTGATCAGAAGCAGCAGGAGCACAGGTCCCCACATATTCAACTTTGGGATGTGCAGAGAGGTGCAAGGGAGTGGGGAGAAAGGGGAACAAAACTCCTCCAGAGCTGAAAAGCTTCCAGCGGGTTCACGCTGCCTGCATCGCATCCCAAACTGCATCCCGTACCCCATCCCACATTACATCCCATGACGTATCCCATGCCACATCCCACTCAGCACCCCGCTCAGCACCCCGCTCCACATCCCCAGTCCCCCCAGTGCAGCTCCTGCCCGAGCCGCCCGCCCCTGCCCGCCTGGCTCCGGCGCGCACGGAGCCGCTGAAGCTTTTGGACCAACTGCGTTGTTTTTTTTAGAAGCCACAATATTTATAAATGGTTGGTAAAATATTTACGTTACGAGCCAGTTTGCCTTGTTGGTTTAAAAAATTAATATAACATTAACTCCTCTCAGAACATTTAGGTTTTTAAGAATTGAGCTGAAAATTAAACAATCGTTGGATTTGTGGTGGGAGTAACGTGGCAGCAGGAGTATTTATCACGTGCAAAACAAATGGGATTGCCACTTCTCTGCCAAAGACATCAGAATTTGGGGGTATTTTTATGCCCTGAGTAAATATTCTCAATTCTTTGTGAACAGTTTAAAAAACAAAAAATAATAATAATAAAACCTGGTGGTTAAGAACGATCAAAACAAAGCCCAGACATTGATGTCATACTTAGAAAATATAGGAGGCTTAAAGATAAACTTTTACATTGGTCAAATATAGAAACTAATTATACCACCAGAGCCCCTACAAGGATTTCTCTATAAGGTCCCTCTGGTTTTGTCCTCTTTAAAGAACTGCTGATGCCTCGTGGAAAATACTGATAAACAATTTGTTCTCAAGTACAACCTGGCTCTTCCCTATTTCTTTCTCCTTTGTTCTCTTCTGCTGAGCTCCGTGTGAATGGAAACAGAGGCCAAACTCATTTGGGGTGTTGGTGCACTAAGTGGTTTGGCCAGGGCTGAGGCTGCACGGAAGGGCTGATGCTCCCATCGTGGTCACCCCCAGGCTGCCGCCGTCCCCAGGCAGGGCTCGGGCCAGGGAGCGGCAGCACAGGTATGTAAAACCTCCAGGAAACATTGATTTTTGCTTTATTTTCTAGAGCTTTTCCAGGGCAAGAGAGGAGGCGTGCAGCACGTGGTTGTGCCTTAGGTCCACAGTCGGGTGGAGAAAGGTCAGAGGAGGAAGAGGAGGAGGTGGATTTGGGATGGTTTCCTCCTGCCCTAGAGACAAATCTTTCTCTTCAAGAAGCTACACGCTGGAACCTGAAATAAGCCCTCGAGTTTGCTTTGACAAAAGAAGCAGAAAAGGGTGTTAGAGGAGGAAGAGCACTTCTCATGGGGTTAAATA